AGGAGGAGGAGGAGGGGGAGGGGGAGGAGGAGGAGGAGGAGGAGGAGGAGGAGGAGGAGGAGGAGGAGGAGGACCAGTGTAAACCCAAGAGCCATCAACGATGTTGGGACTCCCTCCCTCCAAGCTCCCTCTTCATAGGCCCCTACAACGGTTCATTTCCATTGAGGGATCTGCTTCGTTGGAAGACAACCGTTTGAAGACCCGGAAGCATACAAAAACATTATTTTCGGGATTCCAACGCCACGGATCAACTTGACTCTTGCGTCTTGACGATCTTGGATCGTGCCAGAACACCAGTCTTGGGATTTCAACACCGCGAACCAGCGTAACTGTTGCACCCGCAAAATCCTGGACCATTCCAGAACACCATTTCTGTTGCGCTGATCGTGGGATCCAGTGTAATTCTTGCATTTTTCAGAACGAGTGTGCGCGGCGCTAAGGCGAGAGCCACAATTTGAAGGAGACCGTCTTCAATCTGTGAGGCTCTCGCAATTTTTTAGAACGAGTGTGCGCGGCGCTAAGGCAAGAGCCACATTTCGAAAACGGGTGATCCTCAATCCGTGCAGCTCTTGCAATTTTAATGTGCGCGGCGCTAAGGCGAGAGCCAGATTTCGAAAACGGGTGATCCTCAATCCGTGCAGCTCTTCCACTTTTTAGAAAAGAACGCGCGGCGCAAAGGCGAGAGCCACATTTCGAAAAAGGGTGATCCTCAATCCGTGAAGCTCTTGCAACTTTTTTGAACGAATGCGCGCAGCGCTAAGGCGAGAGCCACATTTTAGCCACATGTTGAAAACCACCCGCCCTCCACCTGTGAAACTATTGCCAATTTTAAGCTTCTGAATCATAGATGGTGACGAAGTCTCAGGCGAAACTCCCCAGCCCGCCCCAAAAAATTGCCTCGGGGTGCGACAGGGGGAAATTGTTTATAAGGAAAAGGAATGCAAGAGGAGGAGGAGGAGGAGGAGGAGGAGGACCACTGTAAACCCAAGAGTCATCAACGATGTTGGGACACACCCTCCCTCCAAGCTCCTCCCTCTCCATAGGCCCCTACGACGGTTCGTCTCCATTCAAGGAACTGTCTCGTTGGAAGACAACAGCTTAAAGACCCTTTCAGCATGTCGTAGCATTGTTTTCGGGATTTCAACGCCACGGATCAACCTGACCGCGGCATTGTGGCGATCCGGAATCATGCCAGAACGCCATTGTTGGATATCAACACCGCGAACCAACATGATTGTTGCAACCGCATAATCCTGAATCCGTCCCAAACACCATTTTTGGTACGTTGATCATGAGAATCCGTGAAACTCTTTGCAATTTTTTACAAGGAGTGCGCGCGGCGCTGAGGCGAGAACCACATTTTGAAAAGGAGCCGCCCTCAACCCGGGAAGCTCTTGCAAACTTTTGCACAGCTTGTGCGCGGCGGTCAGGCGAGAGCCAAAGTTTCAAAAGGAACCGCCCTCAATCCGTGAAGCTTTTTGCAAATGTTTGAAATTAATGTGCGCGGCGCTAAGGCGAGAACCACATTTTGAAAACCACCCGCCCTCAATCCGCGAAATTCTTGCAATGTTTTGCAAGGAATGTGCGCTGCGCAGGGGCGAGGGCCACATTTTGAAAACCACCCGCCCTCAATCCGTGAAGTTCTTGCATATGTGTGCAACGAATGTGCGTGGCGCTTAGGCGAGAGCCACATTTTGAAAGCGACCCGTCCTCCATCTGTGAAGCTGGTGTCACTTTTTCATGCTTCAGAGTCAACAGTGGTGAGGAAATCTTAGGCGAAACGCCCGGCCCGGTCCAAAAACTGGCCTCGGGGTGCGACAGGGAGGGGTTATCTATAAGGAGAAGGAATGGAGGAGAGGAGGAGGAGGAGCAGGAGGAGGATGATGAGGAGGAGGAGGAAGAGGAGGAGGGCCAGTGCAAACCAAAGAATCATCGACGATGTTGGAGTCCACCCTCCATCCAAGCTCCCTCTTCATAGGCCCCTACAACGGTTCAGTTCCATCGGGGGAACCGCCTCGTTGGAAGACAACCGTTTAAAGATCCTGAAGCATGCCAAAGCATTGTTCTCGGGATTCCAACGCCACGGATCAACCTGACTGCTGCGTTTTGGCGATCCGGAATCGTGCCATAACGCCATTTTTTGGTACGAGCATAATTGTTGCACCCGCATAATCCAGAATCCGTCCCAAACACATTTTTTTGTACGTTGACCATGGGAATCCGTGAAACCCTTGCAATTTTTTTACAAGGGATGTGCGCGGCGCTAAAGCGAAAACTGCATTTTTGAAAAGGAACCGCACTTAATCTGGGAAGCTCTTGCAAATTTTTAAAAACGAATGTGCGCTAAGGCGAGAGACGCATTTTGAAAACCACCCGCCCTCAATCCGTGAAGCCCTTCCAAGCTTTTTATACGAATGTGCGCGGCGCTAAGGCGAGAGCCACATTGTGAAAAGACCCGCCCTCAATCCGTAAAGCTCTTGCAAATCTTTTACAAAGAATGTGCGCGGCGCTAAGGCGACGGCCACATTTTGAAAACGACCCGCCCTTAATCCGTGAAGCTCTTGCACGTTAGACACCGACTGTGCGTGGCGCTAAGGCGAGAATCACATAAAAAACGACCCGCCCTCAATACGTTAAATTCTTGCAACTGTTTGAAGCGAATGTGCGCGGCGTTGAGGCGAGAGCCACAGT